TAGAGGGAGGCGCAGGTGGTTAAGTCCCAACGTGACGTACCCATCCAGGACGTAAGTACGTCACCCACGAAATGGTGCAGTGCGAGGCCCCTTTCACTTTCCTATCCTCATCAGAGAATAATTACTGACCTGTCACACTCGAGCGCACGCGAGCATCGGAAAATTGGTCAATGCTCGATCCAATTTATTCATCTGAAGTATTAATGACGGTCGCGAGGCCAATAGTTTCCGGACGCCAGTCAGTGAAGATGGTTTCGCCGGAACCGCCAGACTTAACGCCGTGAAGGATGAAGGTACACTGATAAAAATATTTGTGTTCTCGTGTTACTTATGGTTAATATAGGAAGTGGAAAACAAACCAATACAAGTTTTTTGTTGATCCTGGTACAGTTTGCGGTGAGAATAGCGCAGAGATTAATGGAGAGACTGGAAAAATGCATTCCTCTGATTTTGACCTAGATATTCAATACTCGTTTTTTATGAAACTTCTATAAGAAGACCAGGAGGCATTTTCTCTTGAAATTTTCAACGGAAGGCTAGGGTTATATTGTGTCTTAATTCCCGTAATAATCAACCTTTTGAGTTGAAATTTCTCTCTGTGTACGAACCCTCCAAGATTTTTTGACAAGTTAGTGTAGAACTTCCCTTCGAATCTGGTGTTGCTTTTTTTTAGAATTATTTAGGATATCGTTTTCATTTGATATCTTTAGTTTTAAACGTTACACTAAAATAACTTTTACACGAAAAACGTTTTGACAATCAACGTAAAGCTAAATTCTGGTCGTCGGAATCACCAACCAGCCTGGAAAAAACCGATTGTGCACGGCACAAGCAATACGGAAGTCCATAAGTAGGCATTGCACTTCTGCGGATAGAACTGGATGCTGAAAATGAATCTTTCAACAGAATTTTAACCCATTCCACAACCAATCGCAATTATGTGTATATTCTGCTCTCATTACCTTCATGAGTCGTGAACTGCGTGTTCTCAGCTTAGAAACGGATATAGACACCACGAAATCCTTTTCCTGTAGGTTCTTCTGAACATGCTGGAAACCGCGGTCAATTAAGAAAATGTCTTCAGGTTCAAAGTTGGCCCGAAACTACTCTTACATATTCAAGAATATCCACTTAAACTTTCAGCCCTAAATTATTCTGAACAAAATTTTTTCTACCCAAGCAAGTATGACTTCATTTGAACTTTGCTCTCTTCGTTTATGATCCCGGAACTTCCAGTGTAGAATGATGTCTAACATTTTGAAAGTTGTCGAACTAGAGAGGGGACGGTCTCTATAGTACCATCCATGAGAACAATTCTACTTCTGGAAAACCTTCGTTAATCATCATTAGTTTCAAAACTTCATCCAAATCTGATTCTGATTATTTGAGTTGAGTTTGATTAATTTCACCTTTTAAAACAAATCGGATGCAAACCGATGAATGAATCAAATATAACCGTCAAGATTCCATTTACTTAGCTCCCTCAATATCCATCGTCATAGCAATCTATGATAAGCTGTTGGTGGAACTATAATTGTAACTAACCAACAGCCAATTCACAGTGAAATTTTGCTGTTACCGTGTTTTTAAATTTTGGACCATAAAATGGAAATATTTTTTTGATAAAGTTTTATTGGGTAGATCGACTAGAGACCAAATTTTACAATCGATGAATTTGAGTGGACGAATTTTTGGAAATTGTCGAACGTAAACGGCTAAACGGTCGCATGGCCGATTGATTATTATAAAAAAGTATGCAGTTTTTGCTTCTCTTTCACTTTTCAATGTATAGGATTAGTTCAAGCTTTCAAACACTAGATTTCGCATATTCTCGAGTGGCGTATGCTACTTACATTTACGGGGCATTACAGATGTATAAACCACGCGGAGCTTGGATTTCAGCGTTGATATACATAGGGTGTCCCAAAAGTACTGCCCCTTTTTCCACAGAGGGCGAAAGAATGCAGATATCTAAATGCGGTTTGTGTGAGGTTATAGTCCTAGTAATTACCTATAAAACAAGACCAAGTTGAGCTCTGCAGCTTAAAATTTGACCGAGATACAGCATTTTGAAAGTGACGTGTCAAGGTGCCGCCTACGAGATTTTCAACATTTTTTTACGGACGAACCCTAGGACGAACAGACACGACGCATCTGCAGGTGGTCCTTTAAGATCCGGTGCAATGAACTTTTTGAGATGTCAAGCAACACCTGAAACTTACGCAAGGATAAATGACGGTCTCCTCGAACAACAGCAGCAACGGTACCGATTAATTCGTCTGTGGTGGAGGTAGACGNTTGTCATGATTTAGTTTTTTAATCAGTCCGGGCGACTTGGAAATCGTTTTGTGAAACACTTCATATTTTTTGCCATAGACTTTGAGCTGGAAGCTGAATCCATTCTAAAAGCTACAGGTTAAAAAAAAAAAAAAAAAAAAAAAAAAAAAAAAAAAAAAAAAAAAAAAAAAAAAAAAAAAANAAAAAAAAAAAAAAAAAATCAAGTAATAAAAAAGAGAAGAAAAAAAATAGCCTTTCTGGGAGTGACTAGTTTATCTTTTACTCAATTTTCTTTTTAATTTCAAAATACTTAACATATCCCATTGATTGTTTTCCAAGACCCAGTCTAACTATAGTATAGGAAGTTGTCCCGAAGGGCCTCAGAATGTGAAAATGGTGTTGGTCTTCTAGTCTAGATCCTACCCTTTTTTTCTTCAAAACAACCACCACAAAATATTCCTAACCCTACACCTAATAAATCCTACTCCTAAAAAATTACACTAAATAATGTCTCTAGGTGGCTGTAGGCTCCTCTACTGTAGTAAAAGCCACTAAAATAACAAGAAGAAGAAGAAGAAGAAGAAGAAGAAGAAGAAGAAGAAGCTTCATCCCAAGTAGCAGTGATCGCGATAAATAGCGATTTTATCGGTTGGTTATCGCGATTATATCGGTGGCAATATATCGAGATAATATTGCATTAAAAATTGCGACATATGGCGATTAAATCACTACAAATCGCAATTTTTGGTTCGATAAAATCGCGATCGATTCGGTTCGATAAAATTTAAATTAAAGCGCCATTTATTGCGATATTTATTTCGAAAATATCGCGATTTTATTGTAATAAGAGCGAAGATAATCGCTCAGATATTGATGATCCTTGCGATTTTATCGCCGATTAAATCGTAAAATATCGCGATTTTTCAGTTGAAAAATGCTACTTGGGCAGGTTGCAACGCGTTCGCAACTAGGTGATCTTGCGTTTATGGAACACGATGAAATATGCTTGAAATCGGATGAGGTGTTAGGGCTGCACTCATATTTTCACACATTTACTTGGTATAGTTGTATGATGAACATCTGTGGAGAGGGTCGACGACTAACTTTATAGTGTGAAACTTAGTTTATTTTTTTCCCCCATAGTAAGGACTCATTTTTGTTTTCCTTCGAAATGCCCACCGCTAGGAAACACACCTCGGGAACTATTGTCAACAAATTATAGAGTAAACTACCTTCAACTTGCGACGCTTTAAGAATGCCATTCTTTAATCTTCGCGAAGTACAGCAGAATTTGCGTTAAAGTTTTAAATTGGTAATCGAGGAAATTCTTACGTTTTGGAACAAAGCGTGAATTCCTACAAAGTTTTTCTGTGATTCTGTTGAAAAACTGGAGGCGCTTTGGTGTGGTACACCAATTCCTCTGTAATTTTACTTTTAAAATCGATATTTAACGTTAACGAGTCGATGTAGGTAAAGATCAGTTTTATTTTTCTCGGTAACTAAGATATTACGACTTAACATAATTATTTTCCAGATATCGTGTTTTTGCCCTACTTAGAAGGTAAAAAAGTCGTATTTTGAAAAATTCTAAAAAATTTCTGTCAACACCATGTGAAAGTACGCAAAAAGCTGAGTTACTTACAGTAATATCAGATCTCTGCATGAAAATAATCGTGCATAAGCAATGCGCCAAAACGTGATAAATCGCAATATGCGAATTTCAATTTTTGCATATCGTCTTTTTGCCCTACTTTGAGAGCAAAAAAATCGTACTTTAAAAAATTCTAAAAAAATTCTGTTAACACCACGTAAAANGTCTTGTTTTATAGGTAATTACTAGGACTATAATCTCACACAAACCGCATTTTGATATCTGCATTCTTTCGCCCTCTGCGGAAAAAGGGGCAGTACTTTTGGGACACCCTATGTACGTATAATTGTATGATCAAGTGTGATCAATTGAGGGTCTTGGGACAAAAGTGGGATAAGAGTATCTAAATCTAATCTTATAATATATTCCGTCAAAAATTCACCAATAAAAGCCAATTTTCAAGCATCATCAAATGAGTTTAAATTTTCTTTTTGATATGACTCCACCTTTAAACTTTAAGCACGTACCGATTTCTTGAAACAGCAAGAACTGCATGTATTTCACTTGTCCTCCAGACCCCTCAATTTATAAATTCCCTCATTTGACAGCAGCAATAGAAAATTAATAAAGATGAACCAATCAGAAAATATTTATTATCACATTAAGCTCATTTTCTATCTTGAATATTGCACCCATGGTGTGTAGCAAAGGTTTTACTGATTGTAGCCAGTCCTCAATCGGATTAAACACTGTAAAAAAAAGTAGCTTGGATCTAGACTCCAGACTCTTGAAAACAAAGACAAGAAAAAATACCCTTGATTCAATCTTCTTTTTGCTTGAATCAAAAGGAAATCCGCTTGAACTAAGAGACTTGATTCTCGATTTAAGCAAAAATCCGATTGAATAGAGAGTATTTTTTCTTGTCGATGTTTTTAAGAGTCTGGACTCCAGATCCAAGCGACTTTTTTTTCCAGTGAAGCTCTGAAGATTTTGAAGATTGGCTTATGCTCTGGCGGTAAATGTTGAGCTACAGTTGTTCCGCAGTTAGCGGGTGGATTCCCAGGAGCAGTGTGTCCTTGTTGTGTTACGATTCGGCCGGGTGTGTGACGGTGACGTTGGTTGTGTGTTGCAGGCCGCGGAGAGCGGGAACCTCGAGGACTTCAGCCGGCTCTTCCTCGCCGAGCCCTCCCGACTTCACGTGCACGACTCGAAAGGAAGATGCGCCGCCCACCAAGCCGCAGCTAGGAACAAAATCAACATCTTACAATTCATCAAAAATCATGGAGGCGGTACGTTCAACTTTTACAGTCATATCCGTGAAAAAGTACCCCCTTACACGGAGAAGAAAACTTCGTGCGTGGAACCCGAAGTTGAGGTCATGTGGATCTCTGAAGTGTTCGGATCACGTATCAAAAAACTTGAGGTCCAGCTGCCGAAAATCGGGTCAGACATCTGAAGTCCTTCGATATTTACCGAAGGGTGCGGGTCACACATCTGAAGTGCTCCGGTACGTACCGAAGTGCATCGGTGTCTGACCCGAATTTCGGCAGTTTGACCTCAAGTTTTCGCATGCGTGATCAAACAACTTCAGATATCCATATGACCTCAACTTCGGGTCCAATGCACGAAGTTTTTTTCTCCGTGTACGTGGATTCTACATGGAGTGTTCCCATTTATTGTGCTCAGTATACTTGGATTAACTAGAAAAATGCACTTGGCGCGCTATTCATTTAAATGAAAATGTAGGTGCACCAAAACACGATAGGTTTAAGTCTTTAAAGAAAAAAAATTGTATTACCTTGAATGTATTTCAGGCTCAGGTAACCTATCCTCAGCAAGATTCAAAAATGAAAACACAAGGAACAGGATTGAAACAAACAATTATCACAATGCATAGTTATTAGGTAGGTAAATCACGGTAACAAACGAAATAATGACAAATAGAGTAAATAAAAAACAAGGATCCAAACAAATGTTTCTACTTGTCACTATTTTGTTCGTTACCATTTTTTCCCTACCTAATAACTCGATTACATATAGCAAAACGGAACCAACGCGATTACATTGTTTTCAAAATCGTGTAACTTCTCCTTTTCTTTTAAAAATACTTCATATGAGCACAGTATTGCAATTTACACTATTAATTTCATTTAAAATCACTAATTTCATTTTAGGAAGCTAACACTATTTGCTATTCTGGGTGATTGTTTATACGATTATGGAGAAGAAACAGTTTTACAACGCTGTAATCGCGCTGGTTCTTTTTTGCTAGATGGGATCCAACTATGCATTGTGATGATTGTTCGTTTCAATTTATTCTGTTCGTTGTGTTTTTATTTTTGAATCTTGCTGAAGATGGGTTACCTAAGCCCGAAAAGCATTCAAGGTAAAGCAAGTTTTTGAAAACTTAAACCTAGCGGTTTTTGGTATACATACATTCTCATTTATACTTGGATTAACTGAGTTTCCTATTTTTCCTAAACCTACACCATTTTATCTCGAAACACGGAAAAGAAAAGGAAAATAAATAAATAGTCAGTGCGCTAATGACCGATCCTCCCGTTCACAAGGCTCTTGCACTTTCTTTGTTGTGCTTACAGAACTTCTCTGTTGCGCTTACAGAACTTTTCTGATGTAAGAACAGAACTTCGGTCGTGAGCACTGAGTACTCTATCCTCATAACGGAAACTTTTGTAATTGTACTTGATAGAGAAAAATGCAGGAGCCCTGTGAAGGACCTTTTTTCCAAATAGAAATCCCACCAGGGCATTATGAACGGGACGCTACTATGAGCGCTCTTGAAAATATTTCTCCGTGCGCTTATTCGTAGTGAAATAAAAGTGGAAAATAGTTCACTTGAAGCTTTGCGCGTTCCAATTGTCAGTGTGAAAAGTACGGGAACGTCGTTCAGTTTCGTTACGAGGGACCGGGAAAGTCGGGGGATTTTTCCCTCTCAATCGTACACACGCTGTTGAGGGATCGTAATTTATTCGGACGTTTTTCCCAGTCTCCCGCAATTCGCGGTGAGAGTGACGGCAGCAAGCGAGGCTTCGGGGGCCCTCGACTCCTCGTCAAAAGACACACGGCGCAATGTCGATCTTGTGGAACTTTTGGGCCGAAATATATTCATAGCTTCCCAACCCAGATGCATCGGAAATTTCCCACCAGCTACGCCCGACGTGCGAATCGTGACGGAGTACCCCCGACATTTGGGTCACAAAATCCCGGTTGACGAGAGAGTGCTAAACGAGTAACTCCTTCGCACTGTTTACGTCCACTAAATCTCAGCTATGACGTATTTTGACCCGCTCTTCTTAATCTCTCAATCTTTTGATCGTTGTATCGTTTGCTAGTGCGGCGTGTTTGCTCGTTGAGCCGTGCCGGAAATGCGTAAGTACGTTACGTCAACAATCGAATCGACTATCTCAAGTGTTTACATTTGAACCGGGATTAATGGAGAGGAAGCCAGTTACAACGAGATCAAATCGAGGAAAATAGGTTTGGAATTCTATTCCTACACCGGAAAAAAGAACACATTGGATCTAGAGTCTAGACTCCTAAAAACATCGACAAGAAAAAGTACTCTTGATCCAATCAGATTCTAGCTTAAATCAAGAACCAAGCCTCTTAATTAAAGCGGATTTCGTTTTGATTCAAGCAAAAATCCGATTGAATCAAGAGTATTTTTTCTTGTCAAAGTTTTCAAGAGTCTGGACTCCAGATCCAATGTGTTTTATTTTCCAGTGTATGTAAGGCTCAACGTCAGAGAAAGAGTTCAACACCGAGATTTACATTGCCGACGAGGTATCGAAATGCGATGTACTGCATGCCACAGATTAGACTTTGTCTTGCCTTGTCATGCCGATGACTGTGAAGTTTCAATAATCGACCATCGGATGGTCTCTTTGAGCTCATTTTCAGGGGAGAAAAGCTTTTTACTAAGTTCCCTTTGATTCAATTTAGTGGCGGGGCGTGAATAATCGATTATCGCTACTTTCCTATGAAGCTGTGGTAAAGACGACTTTATTATTAAGGTGTTCGCTGCGAACACCCTGCAGCATGTTATCGATCCTTTTCCAGGTTGGATACCTTTAAATGGTAGATAAATCGATGTATCGCAAACCACGCCATGCCATGCCTCTGGAGTTAATTTACCCGCACGTAGTATTTCTAAGCATAAATACGTCCATTTTACCTTGTAATATGATATTTTTCGTTCCGGCTCCGGTGATTTAGATGTTCAGGCTTTGTACATTTCAAGCATTTCTGCTTATCTTCAGGCCGTTTTTATGTCCGTTTTACGCTTATTTTAGACCTTTTTAGATCAGTATTTGGACCGAGTTTAACAGTTAGGAACCAAGCCACATCAGCTATTGCCAAATTTAACTATGCAGAACAATTTTTTACGAGAGAACGTTTGTTCGGATTCTTTCGAAATTTTTAAGGAATTTATTTCGTACCATGGAGAATTTTCACTGAAATTTGCACGAAAATCCGCACAACCGTTTTCATGTAAAAAATTAAATTGCCCAGTTTTTGGCGATAGCTGATGTGGCTTGGTTCCTTTCTGTTAATTGCGGTCCATTTAGTACATGGTGGAACAATCCATTTTTGATGCCAGCCGTTCGTGAATTATTGTCGAGAGAATGCGTTTATTTTAGTATCGGACATTTCACCAATTATCATGATAAGTGGTTGTATACGGACCTACGGTCATTAATTGGAACTTGGCTTTCTCTGTCGAGCCTTGTAATTCGTAATGTGCACTTCGGGAATCATCTATAAATGAATATTCTTCCTTTAATAACCATTGATTTGTGTTTGACTTCATATTCCTCCTCTTTCATCTCCATTGAACTATCATTCACCTTTTGATGATCACCTGAGAGACCTTTTATAGGCCAAAATATTCAGCTGACGGAGTCAAAGGATTTATCATTTTTACAGCCAATTTCATAGGCTGCTAAAGTGTCCTGTAAGGCGCAAATTTCATACAAACTGTAGTCAATTTGTGGCAATTAACCAGAATTCGCATGAATACTGAGGACGTTGCCCAATTACCTCTCATGGTTTACTTTTTTAATGAAAAAACCAAGCAGTTCTATTTCATGAATTTTTGTGGGTATATTTTTTTACGGAATAGGAAATCCATAAAAATTTTTACAGTGATTTATTTTTTTTTATTTTTTTTTTTTTTATAAATAAATTTATAAAATACAGAGATACGATCGGGCAACGCGAAATTCAGTTAGGCTGACTTTTGTTAGTTACAAATGGACTGCATTTTGCAATTCGGACCTATAAATTCTGGCTCATGTGAAAAAACACTTATGTGCATAGGGAAACTAATGGCACATACGTTGTTTTTAAACCGGGTTAGAATTTATAGTTCCAAATTGCAAAATGTAGTCCAAATTATTGTATTACAAAGGCCCCAGAAGACTACTTTTTACGCAAATTTTCAAATTGGCACTTACCTTTCATCAACATTCCTCAAGGAGTCTCTCCCAATACATTCTTTCCGCGATTGCTGTCTCATGCAAAATTCATTCTTCTCTTTGTTTGATAGGAAGTAGAAACTTCATTCTGGAATCCATGCCACAAACATCTGTGGACAGAAATATGGAAAGAGACAAAATGAAAGTATACCCATGGAAATGAATGAAATGAAACGAAATTAAAACGAAAGACTTTCTCGCTTTGAGTGAAAAACTGAAAGAAATTGGAAATATGCTTATAAGAGGAAGATGTGAGCAGTGACAATAATAAACAAGCTCCCGTTCCAGCCGGTTTGAGTGAAAAAACATAGTTTTGATTCTCCTAAGCCGGTTAATACGATAGTGTTAGTTGAACTCCTTTTTCCTCTTCTAATTTTTTTGCATGGTAAACAAATTGGGCATTTTAATGGGATCTACAGCGCTTGTCTCTAGAGTTATCAAAACGTCTTAATCTATCATCGGTTATATGTAAAAGTCATGAAGTAATTGTTCCGTGTATTGCCCATTTAATCTATTAAAGACATGGCATGTGGCAGGAAGAAACGGAGATTTTTATCAAGGAATCCATTCAAGGGATATTTTATGATGATTTATACATGATATATCTTATGGGGGTGTCTTTTTCCAGCCTTAACGAGAATAATTATTTGAGAAAACATAGATAAGTATCCCACTACATGATACCCCCAGTATTTTGTGAGTATTCAACTTACATCAATTGTCTTCTTGCGAAATTTCCACCAAACCGTTCAACAGCCTTTCCAGTTTGTTGTTAAAGTAGTGCAATAGGA